CCTCTATGCTGTGCAACTATATTTGTGATGAAAGGTAACCAAAACAGCCCACATCAGTTCCTCCTCTTAGGACGGTCAGTGATTGGTTGAGAGGAATGACGTCACTGAACGCACAAAGCGGAAGTTTCCTCCCTTTTGTGGATACGGGACAATGAGCTTTTCTAAACGTCGTCTTTTTCCACAATTAAATATCAATTAGGGTCACCGCAAACACACAGGTATGTCCTATTAATACGCGTTTTATTACATGATATGTTGTAATATTTTACTAAGTGCAGTCTGCTTAAAAAAAAACCTCCTGGTATTTCGATTTGCAAGATGTTAGCATTTAGCGCTAGCAACACATAGCTATGTTAGCTAATTGAACATTTAAAGCCTCCTCCTGCTTCATTTTCTTGGGCTTATTTTAATGTGGAATCCCCACATAAAGGTTAAACATCGCTGGTGACATACCTACTGTGGTTTTATTAAATGAATATCAGAAAAGCTTTTTTGATATCAATTTGCCCTGAAGTTAAAGTTGTGTGTGAGCACAAGATAAATGATGTCTGTGCTTAGAGATCCACACCTGTCAAGCTGTCTCATAATCTCCCTCCATGTCTGTTTTCCTGATAGAAAGGAGTCAGGGGGAAACATGGAGGTGCCTTGTTATCCTCCCAAGCTGCTGTTTGAGCTGAACGAGCAGCGGAAGAGAGACTTCTTCTGTGACTGCAGCATCCTGGTGGAGGGCCGTGTGTTCAAAGCTCACCGGAATGTGCTGTTTGCAGGAAGCGGCTACTTTCGGGCTCTGCTGGTTCACTACCTGCAGGTAAACTTGTTGTTCTGTTTATTTTGTTTTGTCTAATGAGCTGGCTGCTAGTGCGCGACGTCTTGTTTGGATTAGGTTTTAATAATTCACTTGTTTGATTGCTGATGCCATCCTTTCTGAACGTACTTGAACGTACTACGTGATAAAACCATGAAAAAATGTTAAAGTAGGGATGTGGATTTTTTTCCTCCACACCAATATCAAATCTGACAGCAGATTCAAAAAGAGCATTATAAACCGTACAAAATAAAACCAAAATCACGTGATTATCTAAAGCAGTGGTTCCCAAACTTTTTATCTTCTGACCCACAAAATATTCATGGCAAAAACTTGTGACCCCAAATATTACTGGTCTGAGAACATGAACCTTGTTAATAACCCTAAAACAAAGGCTACACAAATATCAATACTGATTTATACTTTTTTTTTACTTGTTTTTGTAATGATTTAAGGGGAAATATTACATCACCAATTATTTTATTACCCTTTAAACTGATTTCTGAAGTGCAGTGGTTCCCAAACTTTTCAGCTTTTGACCCACAAAGTAACAGTAGCAGAGACCTGTGCCCCCAACTATTTTTGGATGATAAACGTTTGTATCAGGTCAACTAAACATGGGCATAGTAACAATATTAATTATTCTACATTTATACATTTTAGGCAACTAAAGCAAAAAATGTAATTAATTTAGAAAATCTTTTCAGGACCCCACCTTGATGTTTCAGGACCCCACTTTGGGTCCCGACCCCAACTTTGGGAAACACTGATCTAAAGTATGAAGGAAGTTATTGATGTTTGTCTAGGTGAAATCAGCTCCTGTTTTCTTGCAGCGGTTCACAGCAGAACCAATGGCTGTGTCCCAATTCATGGGCTGGGTCCTCAAGAGGACCCAGCCTATCTGGGCCACGTAGGCCACATCCTTGCTGGGCCAGGTAGGATGCTCAAAACTGCTGTGAAATGAGACGGTCCAGCCTTCGCCTGATGTCGGCTTCACGTAGGTTTGCGTGACCACGTGCTCCCCGTTACCATAGTGATCAGTTTCATGTCGGACTTAAAATGCTTCGGGACGTGTTTACACGTCTTTTTACTGGAAGAATAAATTCACAGTTAAAAAGGTAAACGTAAATAAAGAAAACAATAATTTGGGTTTAGCTCCAGTATCTACAACGAAGATAACACATATTTTTTATTATTATTACGAAAATGAAGTCATAATATGTGAATAAAGTTGTAATATTATGTGAATAAAGTCATAATATGTGAATAAAGTTGTAATATTATGAGAATAAAGTCATAATATGGTGACCTTAAGAATGCTGGAACAATTTATTCATTTAGTAGAATGCTTAAAAGTTTTTTTAATGAGATATGAACAAAGATTTGGTTGATATTTGTATTTTTGTTGTGAAGTTGTTATTTTAAATTATATTGTGTATTAAGTTGAGTTTTATTATTTGTATGTTGTACGTTTTTTAGATACATATTTTTTATTGGGGCAGATGTTATAAGATTTTATTCTTCTTTCTGCTCCTTTTCATTTGAATATGTTGTGATCGTGTTTTTTTGACACAATATTGTCTAATTATTTGTTTGCTTCTATTATTATTAGTTTTTTCTTTTTATTTATTTATTTTTTGTTATTTGTTTGCTGAATTTAATAGTTATTTTTTTATTTTATTCTTATAATACTTTATTCTCGTAACTTGTAGTTGCATTTTCTTTTATTTAACATCTTATTGCAGCATAAATTTCATCAGCTAAGTTGCTAAACTAACTTTTAAAAAACAAATCCTTCGGTCCGTGGTGAATTTCCAAACTGCGCCGACACGTTAAAAAAATAAAAACACCACCGTCTTCATTTCTCTGATCATTTTGCTGCTGCATTGAATCCTGGGATATCCTCGGCTGGTAAGGATACATGGACGCATCCTCGGATTTCAACAGGAAGTAGGACGCATTCCTCGGCCGCATGATGAGGAGCCTTCGAATTGGGACAGTCCTCCATGCGGGGCAATGACGTATGCAGCCGACAAACGCACACTCATGAGGACCCAGCCCCTGAATTGAGACACAGCCAATGTGTGACCATTTCACCATCTTGTTTTCTATTTTTCGCTCATAACATCCTTATTGTTCACCATATCACTATGCAATTTTAGGAAAATATTCACATTCAGATTTTTGAAGGAACCATCTTGTATCCTAAAAACTAATAAAAATGTATAAAATCTAATGCAAAAGTAGCAGAAAAGGTATAAAATAATATTACAAGGCTCATCTCACCAAACTGCAACATCAAGTCAACTTAATGTGTCTTAGAAAGCCAGGAAATGAAAACCATTTAAAAACCATGTGGACATCTGTTTTGTAAATAAAGCTCCTCAACCAATGACAGTGTGAATGTTTCAAGTGACGAAGACGAGCGTCAACACTCTTTGCTAACGTGCTAATGCGTAACGAAAAAAATCATACTTCGACGTTTCAAATCGATATGGAATTGGGAACAAGGGCCGATAAAATAATGTTTTTTAAGTCAGCGTACCTCTTTAAGGGCTCACTCAAAAAACTCAGGTGATTGAGTTTGATCCTATTCTCAATTAAATGGCTCTTCATCAGCACGGTTTGTTGACATTCATAGAAATAATGAAGCAGGAGTAAATAAGCACACGCACAGAGCAGTGATGCACAATCTGGTCACAGCAGTTTGGGAAGAAAATGGCAGCAGCTGCTGATGAAATGTCAACATCTCTAGTTAAAGTTGTGATGATTCTGCAGACCAACTGCTGGGTTCAGGTCTGCAGATCAACAGTTTGATTTGTTTAGGTTGGTTAACTAAAAAAACTGCAACTTGCAGCCATTGCAAAACATGTGAGTTCATCTTTTTTTTTTTTTTCAGGAGAGTGGACAGCGCCACTGCACAGCATCACTGGACATCGTCACAGCTGACGCCTTCTCTATAATCCTGGACTTCCTGTACTCCGGCCGCTTGGCCCTGAACAGCAGCAATGTCATCGAGGTGATGTCCGCCGCCAGCTACCTCCAAATGACCGACCTGGTGAACTTCTGCAAGGACTACATCCGCTCATCTTTGGAGATTTGCAACAAGGAGAAGGAGAGGAGCTTGGAGAAGGAGAACCAGGAGGAGGACGGAGCGATGGGTCCTGACAGCGGAACAGTAACGATCTCTGCGGTCGCGGGTGCGGAGGAGACCAACTCTCAGGCAGCAGAGGTGGACGGAGAGTCAGATTTAGGTCCGGAGACCATCACCTCAGCAAGGACCCCATTGTCAATAGCAGTCCCCACCCCTCCAGGCTCCAGCAAAGACATGGACAGTGCCTACTCCTCCAGGGAGGGGTTTGCATCTGGGAGTGAAGGACAAAAAGGACATATGGATCAGACTAATCTCTCGTCGTCCTCCTCCTCTGCTTTGACTCCAGAGTTAGTGAACCCTAAAATAGAGTACGACCCCGATGAGGAACTTGTTGAGTCTTCTGACACAAAAGAGCTCACATCATTTCCTGGATCTTCTCTGCACAGCGCCCATCATAGTCGGTTACTTCCAACAAGTCTTTTCCCCTCCAACGAGCGCTCTTTGTCGGGATACGGCGCTTCCTTAAACGCCAGGCAGCTGATGGAGATGTTGGCCAGAGGTGAAGCCCCGAGAGGCTCCAGTCCTTTGGGGGACAGAGTGGGACAGCGCTTTAACCAGGGACTGAGTGGCAGCGCAGGAGGTGGCAGGATGGATGAAAGTTTGGGGTTTGTGGGATCGTCTGTCATGGAGATTCAGTCCGATTGGCTTGGAGAGGACACAGGTAAATCATCAGGGTTCAGTTGTTCAAAAGGTCTAATCTGGATCAAAATAATCCAGATTTTGAAGTCTCGTTTTATTACTATCCAGGATCATATAATCTCTTTATTTGATCCCAGTTGTTCAAAGAAAGGTTGGATTGGATCAATTTAGATCCGACTTTACAAGTTGACTAAATGTGGATAACGAGCGCTCTAAATTAGACTGCAAATCACACTAAAGGCTAGAAAAAACTGTTAGAACCACCAGCATGAGGTCATTCAAATTATATTTATTTGACAAAACAAAAATGAAAAAAGTGAAGTATGTGTTTCAAAATAAAAGCATCAACCTTGAAACATAAATAAAAGCACACACATTCAGCCTAGGGTTGGGCATAATCGTATCGTGTGGAATTAATCATCAGAAAAACATTAATCGATTATTTTTTGCACTTGACATTTAATACGATTAATGCCAGCAGTCAGTCTGCTCGATGCTCCTTTCCACTTCAAATAAGACGAACATTAAAAAAAGGTTCTGTAATTCATTTATCTATCAGCACAGTTTAAAATTTGATGGATAGCCTGAAGTCTGTAATTTTGACACAATTTGGAACAGATTTTTATGAAGAGCAAATCGTTCCCACTAAATTGGTCATGGGACTAGGACATAAGTGTGTCCAGGGACTCCAAGAGACTAATCTTAAAATTAATCTTTATCAGCTAAATACCCCAATTAATCATGATTAATTTTTTTTGCCAATATTTCCCAACCCTAATTCAGCCTTCTTCTGTGGATTAACCAAAGGTTTGAAGCTGTGCTTTCCTCAAGGAGTAATAATACAGTACTTGTGTTGTCCTGCACAGTACTATTGCTACAAAGCAGAATGTCCCTCTCTGGGATGAGGTTAATGGTGCAGCTGAGGCAGATGAAAACGAAGTCCAGTTGCTGAAGCGGAACTTGAAACTGTGAAGTCAGACTGACGTCAGTTCCCAGTTGAAAGCGTTCTGGTTTCCATCTTGTCAGAACGTCGGAAAAATAGTTTTTATTTCTTGCTCTGACAGAATAATGCAGCAATAAAACTTTGAACAAAAGGCTCTACATGGAGTTTTGTGTTTAAAACGTATCACCTGATAATCACTATACTGTAAATACTACAAATATGACTGACTTAATGTAAACAACACAGAACTGCTGAAAACTGTAAAAGTAAGATCTTTACTCTGTTGATACTAACCATATTGTAATGATGACGTTATGCGTGGTCGTATTATACCGACTTGCCAAATCAAAATTACAACAGAGGACAATCCAGTTGATATTTCCGACTCGGACGTCTGAAATTCTGACCTTTTAAGCACAACTGAAACGCCACAATACAGCTAATCTCACAGGACGAGAGCGCAGTACTGGAAGATATTGTCAGAAACTGTTTATGAATAAGGATCTTTAGGATTGTAAATATTAAATTTCCAATTAGGTAAAAAAATATTGTCTTTTGACAGCTGTTGAGAGGATTCTTTTATTTCTACCTTACAGTATTATGAAGTGGTCCATAATTTCACCTATAATGGTTTAAAAATTGAGTAAAAAAAAAACAACAACAATATATAAATGTAAGTCTACTACAGGATTAATGTTGGACAAGTTGGAATTTCATTTAAATTACATTTTGTTTCTGAAATCCATCCTGAATCCCCCAAACCGCTGGGATCAGAATAATCCAGATATTTTGGGATCAAAAATATCCCAATCCTACTAAAACGTTTTGAACACAAACTGAGGGTTTGATTCTGAGTAAAACCAGGACTGGATTATCTCGAAGTGCCATGCCAGAGGGCATTGGCGACCACGGTTGTATACCAGTGGTTGCCAAAGTTGGGGTCGGGACCTACAATGGGGTCCCAAAACATCAAGGTGGGGTCCTGAAAAGTTTGTTACAAAAGAATAAGGTTAGTGTACTTAAAATGGACAAAAATAGCATAATGAATATTTCTATTGTGCTCTTATTCTTTTGACGTGAAAACAATGGTTATCATCCAACAACAGTTTGGGGCTCAGGTCTCTGCTGCTGGCATTTTGAGGGTCAAAAGCTGAAAAGTTTGGGAAGCACTGCTCTATACGGTCTTTCAGGAGCTACAGGAAGCCAATAGATGTTCCTAAAAAAAACGTCTCAAGCTGTTTCTGTCAAGCCCTCTCTGTTGTCCACCATGATGTCTTCCTTTCATTTTTCCAGTTGATACAAGATGTTCTAACCCTTCTCTCCTTGTGGTCTGTCCACAAACCCTGTTCTGTCCCAGAATGATCTTTTTGTAAATGATTGGATTACTAATTTCAGAATCCACTTTGGTTTTGAACAACCTATTTTCAAGATTTGATCCAATTCATTAACTAAAATCTGATTGGATTTCCCTTGAACAACTGGCCTCACGATCAGTCTAATGCTGTGAGGAAATGACTGAGGATCCCATTCAACACCTGTTCTGTGTTCAATTAATCACGGAGAAGTTTAAGGAGTTTTCTCGAAGTAAGCGTCGTCTTTCTCCGCCCGTTGCAGGTGACAGCTTGGTAGTGGCGGTGAAGCTCCACAAGTGTCCTTTCTGCCCGTACACGGCCAAGCAGAAGGGGATCATGAAGAGACACATCCGATGCCACACAGGAGAGAGGCCCTTCCCCTGCCCCATGTGTGGCAAGAGGTTCACGCGACAGGAGCACCTTCGTTCTCACGCTCTCAGTGTAAGAACTCACAGGCTGCTGTTTGAATCTGCTGCACTCTAAATTAAAGCCATGTTCATGGATTTATACAGGTATCATAGTGTTTTCTAGTTTTTGTACTGTTTAGTTCAGGAAAAGCACAGGTGCGTTCCATTTAGAAGAAGTTCTTCTCTGTGTTTTTACTTTTTGTTATTTAAGTTAGCACCGGCTCATCATGGTGACCTTCCACAGGTGCACAGACACTACTGGCCGGTTTCCTGCAAGAGCTGCCGGCGGACCTTCACCGGCTCGAGCGTCTCCCCGGGACTGAGGCGCTTCGGGATCTGCGACAGCTGCAACTGCGTGACCACCACCCACGACGACTCGGCCTCGGCTCACCCCTCTGGTCAGCCGGAGCCCTTGGTGCGCGCCGAAGGGGGCACGGATTGGTCGACGTTCATGGACGACGTGGACGAGGTGGAGGTCGGCAGAGTGGAGGACTTGGTGGAGAAACAGATACTTGACAGGCAGCTGGCTGCGTGTGGCGACGTAGGTCACACGCTGTGAATTCACACTCAATGTGGAAACATTCCTCTAAGCCAGGGGTGGGCAATCCTGGTCCTGGAGGGCCGCAGCCCTGCATGTTTTACTTGTTTCTCTGCTCCAACACACCTGATTTGAATGAATATATGATTATCAGGCTTCTGCTGTACGGAGGACCAAAACTGACATAATTAGAAATAAAAGCAGAATTATATAAATGAACTATTAAAAAAATACACTTAAAGGCACCAATCAGAGAACTTTATCTCCTGTTTTATATTTTAATTGACTTTCATAT